GAGGCTTGTGGGGAGAGTCGTCGTGTGGGGGCGGAATGCTGACCTTGCCCAGCAGGTAGAAGTGGGGCATAGGATTGAGGGGGGCAGATGGGATCCCCACAGCCTCAGCCCCTTCCCAGGATTCTGCCTCCCACTGTAACCGTCTCCCCACCCAACAGACCCTGCTCTCCTGCCTGGCTCCCAGGCTGCAAGATCACACCTACATGTCAGCCCACTTGGGGACGAAGCCGCATGGGCCACACGCTCTGCCACGTCCAGCCTGGGCCGCCATCACTCTCGTACTCTCCCAGCTGCTGGCAGGAGGACTCGATCTCTGGCTGCAGAGGCCTCTTGCCCCCACACACTCCCAGGCCTGGAGCTGGCTGCCTTCTGCCAGCTGAGTCATGACATCCTGGCTGGGGCCCCTCCCCAGCACCCCACCCCCACCCCAGCATTCCAACTCAGCGCAGCTGCTTTCCAGAGTAGGGTCCTGAGAGCCACAACATGTCAGCCCTGGAAGTGCTTCCCGGACAGCCCTGCTCATCCCGTGTACAGGTGGGGAAACTGAGGCTCAGAGAGGGGCAGGGCTGCAGAGAGGTGGGTGACAGAGCAGATACTAGAACCCCCAACCCCCTTGCCCCCAGCCAGGGGTCCGTCCCCTGAAGTTTGTCCCAGAGGCTGTGAAGGGCTCCTGGTGCGGAAGAGAGAGGACTAGCTTGCTGGTAGGAGACCAGGGTCTGTCCCATTTCTGCCGGCAACTTAACAAGTCACTCCTCTGACACTCAGCCTCCAATCCCTGCTTGGCTGGGACAGTGCAGGAAAAGCGACTTTGATGTAAAGGTCTATATATAACAGAGCAGGGTAGGGGGGATGCAGTGGGGAGGGAGGGGGCAGCAGCTGTCGTCTGAACTCTGGAGCCTTGAGCCCTGCTCACACCTGAGGCAGGGCTGGAGGCGAGGGCTGCTCAATGAGCTTCCGCTCCCTGCTGGCCCCCTGAGCCCAGTCAAAACACCGGGGCCTTCCCTGTCCTTCTCACAGGCTCAGTCTCCTCATCTGTACAACGGGGCCGAGGAAGGGGGTTGGAGCGAGCAGAGGATCCCTGAAAGCTCTGACATTCCAAGACTAACCCTAAGACCCCGTGGCCAGGCCTCCTCCTCCCTCTGGCATCTTATTTATTCAGAGCATCCCCGGCCCGAGACGAAGAGACGGAGACTGCCTGGCCCAAGCACCCCCTCCTCCTTGAAGCAGGGCTCCCTCCCATCCCCATTGCAATGCTATTTCTGCCCAGCCTGTTCCCTGCCACCAGACTGAGTGTCCCTCTGTCGCCTCAGGTGCCCACAGCCCCTCCGTGTCCTCGACCAGCTCAGTGGCAGCTCCTAGTCCTGCTCCTCCGCTTCACTTTCATCTCAGAAAACGGCATTGCCCTCCACCCCCATGCACACACCAACCCAGAAATAGGGGCGGGCTCACTAACGATACCTCTCTCTTCAGTCCCCCAACATCTAATCAACAGGTCCTGTCATTCTCGGCTAAATAAACCTCAAACCCATCTGTTTCTATCAGTTCCACCATCCTCTCCCCAGCCCAAACCAAGGAAACAGAGAAGTGGCGGCGGAGCCCCCCACCTCGGCTCCATCTCCGCTCTCTGTTCCTAGGCAAGCACCTTAACTGCGCTCCGCCGCCGTTTCCCCACCTAAAACCGGAATGATCATGGTGCCTCTCATGGAGTTGGCTGGGGAGCAAGTAGGCAACACCCGTCAAGTGCTTAGAACAGCATCTGGTGCAGCAAATGCACAACACTCTGGCTTTGCGGCCTGTCTCTGCACGCATATGGATGTGTGTCGGAGGAATTTGGGGTCCCCGGTGCACATGCTCTGTGTGCGTGTCATATGTGCATAGGTGGTTTGTCCTGGGTACACCTGTGATGCGCCACACACATGGGCACCTCACGTGGGCATTGGGGGAGTGCACAGGCAGTGATCTGTGCTGTGTGTGCGTGTGCTGGGCACAGTGGGCACTGCGTGCACGTGTGTTTTGTGTGGGCGTGCATATGTCGAGTGCCTGAGTGAGGGCCGGGCACACACATGGGCTGCAGTACATGGCTGTGTTCCCGAGGCGTGTGTGAACGAGCGCGTAGGCAGGAGTCTGTGCTGTGTGTGCACGTGCTAACGGTGTGCAGGCCTCCCCCACTGGCAGCCGTGCCGGCCCCCCTCCCTCCCTGGCCTGCCTGTGTCGTGGGAGCCTCAGGACCCCGAGGGAGGGAAGCTGCTGCTGGCGGATGTGGCCAAGATGGGCTGGATTTATTTAGATTAAGGCAGTGGGAAAGGAGTGGAGACTCGTGTGTGCAGGAAGGAGAAAAGGCGGGGGCTCTGAGAAAGGCTCCTCCAGCCTGCCTGCTCCCGGACTTGGGCCCTCGGTCTGCTCCTCCAAGGGGGTGCCTCTGATTCACGTGAGGAGCTGGGCAATTTCCCCAGCTCCTTGCTCTGTCTCCTGACCTGGCAGAAACAGAAGGGATCACGAGGGCTTCCTGGAACACAGCATTCTCCTGGTGGGCACAGGGGGCTCCCTGAGAATCCCCCTTCCTCTCTCTCATTCGGGGGACTCCCAGGCAGGAGAGTAGGGCAGGCAGGGGTGTGCCTGTTCCCTGGCTGTGGCGCCCACCTTGTCCCAGGTGGCTCCTCGCTGGAGTGCAGCCCTCTCCCTGAAGAAGAGAACATGTCACAGGCAGGCCCACTGCCCCCAAATCAGTTGCCTGGGCTTCTCTGGGGTTGGCTGGATCCGCGGCAGCCTCTGGGAAGCCCAAAGAGGCCCACAAAACAATGGCTGGACAGCCGGGGGAGTCAGGGGCTCGTCCAACATGGCCGGGGAGGTCCTGTCCAGGTGCCTCAATCCACACTCTGGTCCTTCCAAGTCCTGTGGCCTGTTGTCCGTGCCACCCTTCCCCCTGCCGCCTCCTGCATTTCCATATCACCAGTTTGCTTGTCTGAAAGTCACCTGAAAAACTGAAGCCCAGAGAGGGAAGACACTGGTCAAGCTTTACACAGCAAGTCTGGGACCGAATGGTCGCGGAAATTCAATCCGTGAAGTGAGACTGGTTATGAATTCTCACGCGGCCGCAGCCTCAGGAATGCAGCCCCCTTCCTCTCCGGGCCATTGTAGAACAGGGGTGGCTCTTTGAAAGGACCCATCCAAACCTCTCCCTGTGTGGAGGGAGAAAGCAAGCCCCAGAGAGAGCTAGAGACTTGCTCAGGCTCATGGTGGGTCTGAGGCCTCTAGTGACCGGAGCCAAAATGCCCATTTCATAAACAGAGAAGCCAGTCCGAGCTCCCTGCGACACCTACGCTCTCGCTAAGTTGTCTACGCTTTCCCCGCACTCCTTTGACCAGCCTCCTACCCTCTCCCTGTAGCCCAATTCTTCTTCCTCGTCGCTGTGTGACTGGGCCATGATTCTGTCCATCTCTGGGCCTCTGCTGCCTGTTCAAAGAGACCCCTCCCAGCGGAGAGCCTCCGAGACTCCAAGCCACCCCCAGCCCCCGGCCCAGCGGGAGAGGAGCCAGGGTCAGGGGCTGCTCCTGCCCAGGGGGCCCAGCCCACACAGCCCAGCCTCCCAGAGCCAGGCCAGCCCCAGTCACGGTGACCTCCCATCTCCAGGCCAGCCGACTGAATTCCTCCTTTAGAATAATAAACAGTGCGGCCAGCCAGGGAGGCTGAGAGGGGAGGGGCAAGGAGGCTGAAATGACCCCCTCCCCCAGCCTCGGCTGCTAATGATTTTCTTTGGCTGAGATCTCTGGCAGGAAGGGGGGAGTCAGAGGGGCACCCACCAAGGGGCAGATGGGCCTCTGTGGGGGCTGCTGGCTCCACGGTGGGGCTACTCCCTCCTGCTGGAGGAGGCCTGGCATCCAGCTGGAGGGGCTGGGGCAGGACGGGTAGGAGAGGGAGGGGTGCATCAGAAGAGCTGGACTTGCAGGCTGGAGCAACTGGGAGAGGGGAGAAAGTAGGGGACCCTCAAGCAGGCTGGTCTGAAAGGATGGGACGAAGAAAAAGGAGAAGAGCAGGTTCACTCAGAGAGCTTGCGGGGGCACTGGGCGGAACCGAGACTGCGGGTCCACAGGCCAGGAGCCCTCCCTGTGTGCCAGCAATGCGCAAAAGCAGCGCTGCGAGCAGCGCACTCGGCAGCATCCCATTTTGAGAGCTGGAAATCGAGGCCCAGAGGTGGCGATGGCACAGAACGTAGGCCTGCTGGGGCTCAGACCAGGACGCCAGCCTCACACTGGAAACTAAAAAGGGTGAGGTTGGGGTGCAGTGGGGGTGACTTGGGTGTGGCCTGAGGAGCAGGCCAGGCTGGGCAGCCACTCAGCAAAGTCAGCAGACCCACAGCACCGAGAGGCTCCTTGTTGCCTTGTCACATGGTTACTGCCCACATTTCTTGCTTCGTGACTCCCATCCACTTCTGGTCCCCTTCCCGTCCCTGCCGCGGGGCAGACCCTGGCTGCCTGGCTGTTGGTAGCTATTTGGGATCCTTGGACGGGGCGGCCACAGGCAGGGATAGGACAAAGACTCACCCAGTGCAGTCTGTCTTTCAGTGAGTGTCCCTGCCCCTGTCTCTCTCTGTCTCCACTGCTGTGTGTCCTCTCTCTCCATCTCTCTGTGTCTTTGTCTCTCTCTACCTCTGTCAGCCCAGGTGTCTCTCTCTCGGACGAAGTAGGCTGAGTAACGTTGGGCAGGCTTCTTTTCCTCTCAGAGCCTCAGTTTCCCCACCTGGACAGGAGGGATAGCCTGGGGGGCCCTGACTCAGTGGTCTCCACGGAACTTCCAAGGCTTGCTGCACTGTGGGGCCTCCCCAGGGCCCAGCCCCTGGCCCCTCTTCCCTAGGCCTCCCTGTGCAGCTCAGAACTGAGTGAAGGGGGCCAGCCGTGGGGGTGCCCCCCCACATTCCACAGCCCTGACTCCCCCGCTTCCCTTCCCACAGCCGCCTCTACTTCCTGTTGTGCTTGTGGAGCTGTGGGAGTTCTCTGGGTCTGGCTTACCCCCTCCTCCTCCTCCTCCAGGCCTTTCATCACACTTTCCCAAATATTTGTCCTGGCAGATAAGAGCCTGGTATTGGAACTGTCACCCGGAGGACAGGCTCTTAGAGTTGGCAGGCCCCTGGACACCATCCCCGCCCAAGGTCTCTGTTTTGCTGTACATGCAGAGAAACTAAGGCCCAGAGAGAGGCGGGGGCTCAGCCAGGGTCACCAGAGAGGTAGAGGCCAAAGAAGGGTCCAGGCTCCTTGAGGCTGAGCCTAATGCAGCGGGAAAGGGCCTGTGGGCATGAGGGCCCTCTTGGCGATTGGACACAGGTAGGCAGCCTTTGACTTCAGCCCCAGGAGCTCCAAGGTTGGGTGGCCCAGGCTGGGGCTTACTCTGCAGGACCCAGGTGCGAAGATGGGTCCTTGCACTACCTCTGCCCACTCTGGGCCCTGACTGTCCCCTGTTTAATTCTGCAGGACACCATGCTGCTTCTGAGTGCCATGCGAGCTCCTGTCCTCAAAGGTAGGTAGGCTGGGGCATGGGTAGGGAGCCCTGGGGAGCCACTGTGCAGGACCCTGGAGTTGGCAGGGCTGGCGCATGCTAGCACCAGGGCCTGGGAGTCCAGGGGCACTGCTATGGCTCTCCAGCCTCAATTTCCTGCCTTTCCTGTGGGTCTCAGAGAAGGCCGCCTCCCACTGCCCACGTATCAGCTCACAAACCTCAGTGGATTCCCTGCCTGCCCAGAGCCATCAGCTCATATCCTTAGCTTGGCCTTCCACACCCCATGCCCCCTCACCAGTTGTCCCCACCCCACTCATTAAGAGCCACTCCAGCCTCCCATCCCTCCTCAGCACTCGCTGGTATCAGTCTGGCTGGTCTGCTTCCAGTCTGGGACTCCCCACCCCTGCCTGGATCCCCCACTGGCTGTGACCTCCCAAGTGCTGGCTGGGTATCTCAGCACACTCTTCCCTCACTCCTGCCTGGTACACGTACTCTGCTGTTCACGGCAGCTGACCAGGCAATCAATGGTTATTGGCAAGCGATGACCAGGCAACAGTTTACCTGAGGATGGCTGATTGGCTTGGCAGAGCACCTACCAGTCGGGGGTGGGGTGGGGGAGCGTGGCTTACAGAATTTTTCTCCAGGAGATATCAGCAGGGGAAGTGGAACCAATCATGTGACAACCCCCAACCGCAGTTCCTTTGAGTCCCAGGGGCCTCAGCCTCTCTCCTGCCTCAGGGTGCCCTACTCTGATCTACCTTGCCCCCCTGTCCCCAAACAGCGCCACCTCTGGGCTCTGGGCAGAACCTGGGCAGCTTGGGGCAGCTGTAGGGACGAGGCTCAGAAAGTGACCTGGGAAATAATGCAGGAACTGGAGGCTGGGAATTGCTTCCCGAGGATTTCCTGACGCATTCGTGAGAACATGCCCGCGGCCTGCGCGCGGCCCGCTCAAGGGCTCCAAGGCTGGGGTCTGAGGCACGGCGCCAGCAGGCCCGGGGGCTGGGCGCTGAGCGGGCAGGCCGCGTGGGGAGAGGTGTGGAGGCTCCGTGCTCTGACATCTGATGCCTCCTCCCCAAAGGCCAGGTGCTGTTGCTGCCCCTGCTGCTGTGGCTGGGACCACAGACATCCCCAGGTCTGGTCATCACACCTCCGGGGCCAGAGCTTGTCCTCAATGTCTCCAGCACCTTGGTTCTGACCTGCTCGGGTTCAGACCCGGTGGTGTGGAAACGAATGTCCAAGAAGCCCCCGCAAGAAACGGCCATGACCCCGGATGGCAATTACTCCAGCGTCCTGACTTTGACCAATGTCACTGGGATAGACACAGGAGAATACCTGTGCACCTATAATAACTCTCATGAGCTAGAGGCTGACGAACAACAAAGGCTCTACATCTTTGTGCCAGGTAAGGCCCCCAGCCTGTGCTCACCCCCTTTGCTCCCCTTCTCAACTGCGGGCATCTGGGGAAGCTCAGAGTGTGCTTTAGTGACATGGTAGAACACAGGCAGCTCAGAAATGCAGACGAATCAAGGAATCCAGCCCGGCCCAGCCCAGGAGTATGCTCACTCCCACCCCTTGGTGTGAATATCTGTCTGCTCCCTGCCAGCCCACCCCATGCCTGGCTCCCAAGATCTCTGCATTCTCAGCTGGTTCCAATATGCTCCCTCTTGGCCACTCCATCCCATCTGTCCCATTCTCCAAGCTCCAGGTATCAGCTGCCCTTCAACTTGTGGCTTTCCCACCCTGGTGCCACTCATATCAAATGTTAAAGCTAGACGGGACTCCCTGAGAGCATCCTTATTCTGTCATGGGAAGACTGAAGGCCAGAAAGGGGAAGAGGCCTGCTGAAGGTCACACAGCAACTCAGGGGAGAGCCGGAAACCCAGCTCCCCTAACCCTCATTTTTGTCCCTCACACCCGGCAGATCCCACCATGGGCTTTCTCCCTATCCCCTCCGAGGAATTATTCATCTTTCTCACGGAGGAAACGGAGATCACAATTCCATGCCGAGTGACGGATCCACAACTGGTGGTGACGCTGCATGAGAAGAAAGTGGATGATCCACTGCCCGTCCCCTATGACCACCAACATGGCTTCTCTGGGACGTTTGAGGACAAGACCTATGTCTGCAAAACCACCATCGGGGACAGGGAGGTGGATTCCGAGCCCTACTATGTCTACAGCCTCCAGGGTGAGCCCCCTTTCTGGCCTGATGCTCAGCAGAGGCAAGTATGACCGTTCACAGAGCGCTAGCCCTTTCTAGTCTACCGAGGTGCAGCTCCACCTGTCTCTGAATTGCCATTGCAGCCTTGGGAGGCAGGTCATGTTTCTCTATTTTACGGATGAGGAAACCGAGGCTCAGAGAGAGGATGGGATTTGCCCAAGGTCACAGGATGCGTTAGTGGCGGGGCGGGGCTGTACGTGGCGGCGGGCAAAGAGACAGGCTTTGGAGCCAGTTGGGTTTGAATCTCAGCTCTTCCACTTCCTGCCTCAGTGACTTGGCACAAGACACACACCCTTTCTCAGCCTGCTTCTTCTTCTGTAAAATGGGAATAATGACTGCCTACCTCATGGGATTATGGTAAAGACCACGTACACCTGAAGAGAGAGGGGACCTGGTACACAGTTACGCTCAATGCAGTTCCCCTGTACTTAGGTGCGTGGAGAGTGCTTTGATTTCCAAACTGTTACCCCTTCTGGAAGGCCAGCTCCACGTGGACAGGACTTTTGTCTGCTGTGTTTACCACTCAAGCCCCAGTGCTTAGAATAGTACTCGGCATAGAGTAGATATTTCGTAAATACTTGTTGAATAAATGAATCTTCCACAGCAGTCATCCCTTCCCTCTCTGGACCCTGACCCCAGCCCCAAATGGAAGTGCTGGGAGCTGGTGGCGACTTCCTCAGCCCTAAGCCAGTCTCTCTCCACCAGCGTCATCCATCAATGTCTCCATGAGTGCAGTGCAGACTGTCGTCCGCCAGGGCGAGAACATCACCATCACGTGCATGGTGACTGGGAACGAGGTGGTCAACTTCGAGTGGCTGTACCCCCGCGAGGAGGTAATGCAGGGACAGGGGCTGGAGTAAGGGCCAGGCAGGGGTGGTCACCTTGACTGGCAGCCTGACTTCCTGGATGCTTCCTGAGTTGGGGGACTTGCCTCACCTGTCCCTACAGAGCGGGCGGCGAGTGGAGCCAGAGACCGACTTTGATATCCCCTTCCACATACGCTCCACCCTGCACATCCCCAGTGCCGAGCTGGGCGACTCAGGGACCTACATCTGCAATGTATCAGAGAGTCTGTATGACCATCAGGATGAAAAAGCCATCAATGTCACCGTGGTTGGTGCGTGCCTTGGGCTCAGCCCCAGCCCCCTTTGGGAGCCGGAACTGCCCCCCGTCACAGCCCCAGGATGCCGTCAGCCACACTGCAGTCCACACCTCCAGCCACACTGCCAGCTAGGGCTGCATTTCCAGGAGAAACCAAAACCCAAACACAGGGCCAACCCCAAATCCAACCTTAATCCCATCTGGACTTTTCCCCTAGCCAGAACCCAGGCCCCAACCCAATTTCTAATCCCAGCCTTTATCCCAGGCTCAGGCAGCCCCATCCCCAAATTCATCCAGGCTGTAACTCATCTTAGCCACAATCCTGGGCCAGAACACGTCCAGTGAGAACTACAGTTCCAGCCTCAGTCTCAAACCTGGCCTCCAAACCAATGTCAGCTCCAAATTCGGCCCAGTTCCAACCCCACCCCCAGCCCCAACTTCAACCCCAGATGCGGTAGTTCCTAAAGCCTAATGCCAGGCCTCCAGAAGCCCCGCCCAACGAGGCACTGTTCCACCGGTGCCGGGGCGTAGCCCTGCCCCTGACAGTCGCCTCTTGCAGAGAGTGGCTATGTGCGCTTGCTGAGGGATCTGGACGCTGTACAGTCCGCCGAACTGCACCGGAGCCGGACACTGAAGGTGGTGTTCGAGGCCTACCCTCCACCTACTGTCAAGTGGTTCAAGGACAACCGCACTCTGGGCGACTCCAGCGCCGGCGAGATCGTCCTGTCCACGCGCAATGTGTCTGAGACTTGGTGAGCAGCTGCCTGCCCACCCCATTCTTGAAGTTATGGTCTGCAGCCACCCAGCAGCCTACAGCCTTTAGCTACTCCACAAACCTAGGCCTCTGTTTCCCGAGAGCTCTCTACGTGTCGGGCGCCCTGCCAGGTGCTGTGCCAGGCCCCGGGGATGCTGCAGAGAAAAGAGCACACGGTTCCATGCCTCCTAGAGCTTCCTGTTTAGTGGGGAAACCAGACACTGGTTAGATGACCACCAGGATGTTTAATGGTCCTTGTGATGGCTGGAGCCATCGGGAGGCAGCAGGAAAGCGGGATGAGTGGGGAACAGGGTACCAGGCAGGCCACCGCCACGTGTGCGTGGGTGGTAGCCCTGAGGTGCCGTATGTTAGGATAAAGGAGTGTCAGGCCCTTATGAAGGAGAAGAGATTTGGATGAGGGGGAAATGGTGCTATCCCTTCGTCCCCACCCCCCTTCCTCCTAACCCTCCCTCTGGGCTCAGTGGAGCTGCTTGTGTATAGGTGGGGGGACTCAGGAGACTAAACCTATGCGTGTGAGTCCCGGCTCTGCTACTGACACCTGTGTGGCCTTGGCAAGCCCCTCGCCCTCCCTGGGCCTTGCTTTTCGTCTGTACAGCGAGGGTGGGGAGGGCCGTGAGAGTTCTTCCAGCTGACAGCTGGGTCCCCCGGCCCGGCCTGCCCCCAGGTACGTGTCAGAACTGACGCTGGTGCGGGTGAAGGTGGCCGAGGCTGGGTTCTACACCATGACGGCCTCCAATGAGGATGACGAGCTCCAGGTCTCCTTCCAGCTGCAAATCAACGGTGAGGGGCCCTCTGCCCTGCTTTCCTTCCTCCCACCTCCCACCCCCACTTGCTCTCCCATCCTACATGGTCCACCCACCCACAGGAGGAACAGGAGAGGAGGCCCAGGACTCAGCAGACTGGGTTCTAGTGTGAACTCCAACGCTGACCCACTGCTCTGTGCATACACTGTCCTGGCCTCAGTTTCCCCAGCTGTACAAGGTGGCCATTGGGCTAGACTAGTGTTTCCGAAACCTCAGTCATTCCAGTGCCAATGTCACGATTTTTCCTTCTCACATACCACTTAAACCACACCACTAATTAAATAGATGTTTACTGAACGGCCACAGCATGTCGGTCTGCTCACGGTTCCTGAGGCCCTGCCTTAGTGCATCTTGAATCCTAGTGCCGAAAGACAAATACTCAACGGTAGGGGCAAAATCCCCAGCCAGCTGTGTAGAAGGTTAGAAGGTAACAAGTGCAGGGAAGGGAAAAGGAAAAGCTCTGGGGTGGGGTGGGGTGGGGGAGGGTTGAGAGTTCTGAGGGCAGGGGCAGTGAGGGTTGCACTTTTAAATAGCAGTGGTGGGGCTGGCCTCACTGAGGGGGCAGCTTCGGGAAGACTGGAAGAAGGCGAGGGCATTAGTCACGTGGCTGTTTGGGGAAAGGGCGACCCAGGCAGCGTAAAGACGGGAGAAATGGCAGAAGGGACTGAGTGGCCGAACAGCGTGACAGGGAGAGTGGGGGGAGATGAGGCCAGAGCTGGGGCAGGGCAGTTAGGGGCTGGGTGGGTGGAGACAGACTGCGTAGGTCCTCGTGGGCTTCTGTGTGGACTTTGGCTTTTACTGTGACTGAAATGAAGTCACTGAAGGGTTTTGAGTAGAACATCATGATAGTGACTTCATGTTTTGCCAATAGACTTTCTAAAAATTTATTTTGAAAGAGAATTTAACCTCTCAGTTGTAGATGGAGAATCACTGTACATGTCATAAGTATAATGCACTTGAATAAACTCCAAGACAACAAAACAATGCTGTTACATTCCAGCTCCATGCGCTTGCCTTCCCAGGGCCCTGATCCTGAGGCCTGCCCTCGCTTTGTTAAAAGGGGAGATTAGCAAGCCTCAGAGAGGTGTTAAGGACAGACTAGCACCCTGCTGAGGCCTCCCCTTTGAAGTACCCACAAGGGGAATCCGCCAGTTTTCACACGGTGATTCCTGGTATTTAATGTTCACCTGCAGACTGCAGCTCCCCTCTCCGCCTCGAGGGGAGGCTCTAGGCCACGCCCTCCTTCTCTGAGGGTCTTTCTCACTCACTAGCTGTCTTTTCTGACCTTCCTTCCTCTGGGCCCCATGCTTTCTCTGTGCAGTGCCTGCCCGGGTGCTGGAGCTGAGCGAGAGCCATCCTGCCGATGGGGAGCAGACTGTCCGCTGTCGCGGCCGGGGCATGCCTCAGCCGCATCTCACCTGGTCTACTTGCCGGGACCTCAAAAGGTGAGCAGAACACCTGCCCCAGTCTCCCAGTGTTGGCTGGAAGGACCCATTGAAGGTCATCTAGTCCAGCCCCTTCCTCTGGGCACAGTGTTCCAGGCTAAAGTCACATCCTAGGAGACGTGTGTTCGTGGAGGTGCCCTACATGACCTAAATTGCCACTTTTCCTTACCTTGACTCGGGGTCGTACCAAGGGAATGGATTTTTCTTATCAGGCTTCTCAATTGTGGGGTAGGAGCTCCCCTTGCCGGTCAGTTGGGAGACAGCAGGAGAACCAACTCAGGACCAGGCGGTGGGGAAGTAGCGGACTAGAGGCTCCTAATCTCTCCTTGCACCACAACCTCTTGGAGCTGCCTGCTTTTGGCCTCAGTTTCCCCGCCTGCAAAGGGCAAGGGACTGGAAGCTGACCAGGCTGGTTCACTGGGCAGGTGTCCGCGCGAGCTTCCGCCCACGCCGCTGGGGAACAGTTCTGAGGAGGAGAGCCAGCTGGAGACTAACGTGACGTACTGGGCGGAGGAGCAGGAGTTCGAGGTGGTGAGCACACTGCGCCTACACCGTGTGGATCAGCCGCTGTCTGTACGCTGCACACTGCGCAACGTGCTGAGCCTTGACGTGCAGGAGGTCATCCTGGTGCCACAGTGTAAGTCATCAAGCCTTAGTGGCCCCCGATGACCCCTCAGCCCCACCTCGAGGCTGCCATGCTTGTGACTGGGCTTGTGTGTCCTCAGGAGGCCAGAGCCAGCATGCCCATGGGCATTCGGGAGCCTTGTGAAACCCGCCAGAGTATGCTCCACCACACTTACGCAACAACACAATATTGGCACACGTGTACATCCACAAGTACATGTCTATAAACCACGGCTATGGATATCACTGTTTCCTTATGCCTGTGTGTGTACAATATGTGTATGTCCTTAGCCATGTACATGAGCTTGCCTGATCCTTGGGCATGGGTGTAAACCTGGCAAGTGTAGGTTTGTAAGCCATGTAATAACGCACAATCCTCAGATACATGTGTAAACCCATGAGTGTATGTCTGTGCATGTACATGTGGGTGCACAATCCCCAGACAAGTGTACAAATGATGCAAATACGATGCCTGTGCATGGTGCATGTCTGCAAGCTAGGAGAGGGGAGGTGAGCCACAGCCTGGGCGCCAGGAGCTTGCCCCTGGTCTGGAGCTACGGCAGACAGCCACATGAAGCCCTGTTAGAGTTGGAGGGATAAGGAGGCCAACAGTGACCTGAGTGGGGGCAGGGTGGGGGGTAGTTACTGAAGGGCATTTACAGGAGAGGCTGAAGGTGTGGCCCAGAAGGAGAGGCTGAGGGTCTGACATTATAGGCTGTGGAGGGGAGTGGGAGGGGCCTTCTATTCTGGGCAGGATGGGCGGGCAGGGATTTGTGGTGCCAGAGGTGGGATGAGGAAGGCAGCTGCCCAGTGCCGTGTTGGCTCCCAGTCAGCTCTTGTTTCTGCCTGCAGCCCTGCCCTTCAAGGTGGTGGTGATCTCAGCCATCCTGGCCTTGGTGGTGCTCACGATCATCTCCCTCATCATCCTCATCATGCTCTGGCAGAAGGTAAGCCCCGCCCTAATGGAGACAGGCCTGCACATCAGCACATCATTGTCTTGTGTCGACCCCTGTCCCCCGCCCCCCGCCCCGCCACTGTCCTTGGATCCTGCAGGGTCTGGCTCTGCCTGGGGCCCACCGCGGAGCTCAGGGGCATGACAATTGAGTGATGTTGGCTGTCTGAGCCCCCTCTGTCCCCAGCAGCCTGACCCAGGCTTAGGGTACCCTGCCTGCACTGCTCTCCTGTCCGGGTCCTGCTCTGATGTCACTCCTGCCCTTCCCAGACACGGGGTGCGGGACCTTCCTGGAGCACCATGTGGGCCCCAGGATTCTTCCAACTCTTACCCACAGAGACTCTTGTAGTCTACTAACTTCCATTCTAACCCTGTTCATCTGTAATTTCCATGTTCTCTTCTGAGGTTTCTCCATTCTGTGCTTGTGACATTTTAAGATTCCTGAATTAGCACTGTAGCACCCCGTGGTCTATCTTTCTAAGATTCCAGTCCAGTGATTCCAAGCACGCCATGGTTTCGCCATCCTACGGTCACATCTTCCTGAGATTCCTGCTGTGATTGGCCCCGCATGGAGAGGGCTGTCCACATCCAGCAGAGTGCCCCTGCCTTGTGTCACTTTCTGGGGCTGGGTGCTCCTCTGTTCCCATCTGGGGAGCAGCTAAAGCTCTAGGAGAAGCTGGGGAGGAGGTTTTGATGAGCTGGGCCCTTAGCCGTCAGCTGCTCCCCAGCCACTCCCTACCTGGGGCCTCTTGGCATCTGTTCCTGCTGAACTCATGAAGGCCTTGGCTCTATCGAGAACTTACTGTGTGACTTCATTATGCCCCTGCCCCTGTCTGGGACTCTGGGTCTCCTGCCCCATCTGTTTCATAAAGGCCTGGACCTAGTGGGCCTCAAGACCCCTACTGATGGCCCCATCCCTGATCTTGGTCCTGCAGAAGCCCCGCTATGAGATCCGATGGAAGGTGATTGAATCCGTGAGCTCCGATGGCCATGAGTACATCTACGTGGACCCTATGCAGCTGCCCTATGACTCCACCTGGGAGCTGCCGCGGGACCAGCTCGTGCTTGGTCAGTCCGGGGAGACCTCACAGGGCAGTGTGTGGGCTTGAGGGGGCTGGGAGGATTATCTGAGGTCTGGTCCCAGCTTTGCCATGACTAGCTTTGAGACTTAGGGCCCATGTATTGCCTTCTCTGGCCCCCAGGCTACCCCTCTGTAGTGTGGAGATAAGACAGTCCCCCAGGGATCATCCAGCATTGAGGTCTTATGATCCCGTTACTGTGTGAGATGGGACCCCTTTGTGATGAGAGGGGAAGCCTTAACCGAGGACAGGCCGAGCCCCAAGCCTGCGCTTAGTCTAGCTGGGAGGCTGAGGGGAGCAGAGGAGCTGTGCCCTCCTCTGGGGAGGGAGGAGGGCTTCCAGGGACTAAGATGGCTCAGAAAGCATCTAAGTGCAGATGGCTCAGCACTTAGATGAGACACCAGGGAGGACCGTGATTTTAGGAGCCTCATTGGAGGAGACACCTGAAGTCCAGGGTGGTTGAGGGATGTGTAGGCTGATTTCAGAGAGGGCGGAGGCAGCTTCCTGGTGGACCAGGAGCTGAGGGACCATCTCTACCCCAGGACGTACTCTCGGCTCCGGGGCCTTTGGGCAGGTGGTGGAGGCCACGGCTCACGGCCTCAGCCATTCTCAGGCCACGATGAAAGTGGCTGTCAAGATGCTGAAATGTGAGTTCTGGGAGAGCCCCCAACCTCTCCCCTCCCCCTCCCCACACAGCCAAGTGCTCCCAGAGCAGGCCAGGCCTGGCTCGGATTCGCTGGGCACAGGAGTACAGTCGTCCAGCAGCCAGCCCCACACCTGACCTGCTCTGGGAAAGAGGCTTTCTCACCTGCCTCCTCCTCTGACAGCCCCCTCCCCACCCTGCACCCTGTCCCCTCCTCCTTCCTCCCATCCTCTCTCCCCTCCCCCTGCATGTGGGCCCTCACCACCCTTGGCCACAAACTGGGGCAGAGCCAGGACAGGCTCCAGGGGGGCCTCCACCGGGCCTCAGTGATGGGGCCAGGCCTGAGGCCCCTCTCTCCCTCAGCCACAGCCCGAAGCAGCGAGAAGCAAGCCCTCATGTCGGAGCTGAAGATCATGAGTCACCTTGGGCCCCACCTGAACGTGGTCAACCTGCTGGGAGCCTGCACCAAAGGAGGTACAAACCCACTGGCCCAGAGGACTCTGGGAAATGCCAGTGGCCAGGGCTGGGCCCCTGTCCCCTTCCTCAGTTCAGGGACAGCAAGACACTCCAGTGGGAGGGTCTGCGCCCATCCTGCCCAACAGCCTCGCTGAACAGAGCTGGGTGGGTATGGGCTTCCCTGCCCTCTGGGTCGCCAGTGCCAGTGGCTTCCAAGTCAAGGCAGCCTCTGACATTGACCATTTTCATGATAGGTTTTTGAATTGTATTTATTGCTTAATGAAACCAAACAGGTTTCAAGTGTGCGACTCCGTAACGCAGCATTGGCATACTGCATCGTGCGCCACCACCCAAAGCCAAGGCTCCTTCCGTCACCATTTGCCCCGCTTTGCCTTCTTCTTCCCCCACCTCCCTTTCCCTCTGGTAATCACCATACTGTTGCCTGTGTCTGTTTTTTTTTCTTAATATGATCTATTTTAACAACTGTAATAAATGACAGCTTATGCGACACTGAGATGAGTTATGTCCTCACTATTGGAGACCACCAGCCTGCTAACTGGGAGCTGCCTTCACTCAGATCATAGAATAAAGTCTTTCTGACCAAGCGTGTTTATTTGAAACTCTGATTGCAAGTTAGGCTGTAAGGCTGAAAAAAAAAATTGCCATTTACAGCTGCTTATTGTGAGGTTTGGGATTTTCCTCAGTATTAGGCAACCAAAGCAAAATACAGAAGTATATTGCACACCCAAGGCAATTTATGTTTGCAGCGATTGCCCCATTTCACAATTTTTGTTTTTATTAATATCTTCAAGTTCCCACTGATTGACTTTAAGTCAATGTATGGTATAGGGTCCAGCACAAATAACATCCCTTTTCTATTACAAACTCTTTATTACAAAATCATAAGCATGTAATTCTGTAACATAACAATATCACACTCAAGCACACCAAAGAACACTTTACGTGAAATGTTCAAATTAAAAGTATAAATTGTTACACCCATATTACTGCCCTGCCAACCACACTCAAGCCGTAACGTGAAAATAAATAATTGCCACTGTTTACTTTATATACTGGGCTCCGAAATAAGCTTTAGTTTGAACACCTATTAACAACAGCTAACACTGTGTGGTTGTTAGGTACCCCAAACTGAGCGGAGCTGATAAAGGCATTATCCCATGAACAGCCCATGACAGCCCTTTGCGGTGGATGTTATTAGCCCCATTTAACAGGTGGGGAATGCAAGGCTCAGGGAAACTAATAATATCTTGCTCATGGTCACAGAGGCAGGCAAAGAACCTACGATTGCAGGGAGCCAAAGCCTCTTTGCCATTATACCGAGCTGCCTCTGCCACGTGCAGCCCGTCATTAGCCTCACGGCCCTGATGGGAAGGAAGCTCGAGGCCTCCCGGGGGACTGTCCCTGAGCTTGTCCCTCCGCAGGGCCCATCTACATCATCACCGAGTACTGCCGCTACGGCGACCTGGTGGACTACCTGCACCGCAACAAGCACACCTTCCTGCAGCACTACTCCGACAAGCGCCGCCGGCCCAGCGCCGAGCTCTACAGCAACGCCCTGCCCGTCGGGGTCCCGCTGCCCAGGTACCTGGAGGGAGGTGTGATCTGAATCCTTAGGGAGCCCCTCGGAGCACCTGCTTGCTCCGTCCTTGTCCAGTACCGGAAGCGGAGGCAAGGGAGGGTAGAGTGGCTCTGTTTTACAAGTCAGTTCAAGACCCGAGGCTTGGCCCACCCCACAGGGCAAGACAAACCGCTCATGATAATGGTGGGATCGGCTGCCACCTACCGGCTGTCTGCAGTGTGGCAGGCCCTGTGCTAAGCTCTCCCGTCTGCGCGATCCCTTCATTCCTCACTTGGTCCCTGTTTCCCTGTTCCACAGTGAGCACTTGGAGCTCTCTGGTCCCAGGCCTGACTCTATGCTTCTCTCCTCACTGTAGCTCTCACGCCCGCTATACAGCAACCTCTGCAGTACCCTGAGGTCAACATAGCCCCTTTCTTCTTCTTTTCCGAAAATAACATCTGGGTTTTTTTGCTGATTACAAAAGCAGTATGTATTTACTGCAGAGAGAATAGTAACATCAGAAAAGCATGAAAAGACAGTAAAACCCATCCTTGTCCTCCCCAACACTTTGCTCCATTCTCTGCCAGTCTTTTTCCCCGCTGCGGAGACATGTGGGTGCAGCCCCGCAGCTCTCCGGGGAGCTAAGGCTGCGGGCAGAGGCTTTAGGGCAACTTGCCGCCCGCTCTGGGCTGGGGCCAGGCCCTGGTGGGGCACCAGGGCTGCATGGGGCTGCGGTGGCCGCAGAAAGGCTCCTTTGTACACACCCTTCCTGTGACCTTTGTCTTGGGGTGATGTAACTGCCCCTTGACCTGAGCTCTCTGAGGACGCACACTGGGTCTCAGGTTATCTTGGCAGCCCCAGGACCCCGCTCAGGGCTCCCCAGGTTGGTTGAAAGGGCTCTCTCCGAGGTCATTCACATGACAGTGACAAACTGGAAGAAGATGAATCAGTGAGGGAGAGCAGAAATACCAGAGCGACAGGGGCTTGCAGGCCCCAGGGTGAGCAGAGGGGCAGGAGGGGGAAAAGAAGGGAAAGCCTGTGACCTCTCCTTCCGTGACATTCTTCTCACCCTCAGCCACATGTCCCTGCCTGGGGACAGTGACGGTGGCTACATGGACATGAACAAGGATGAGTCAGTGGACTACGTGCCCATGTTGGACATGAAAGGAGACATCAAGTATGCAGACCTCGAGTCCTCCAACTACATGGCTCCTTACGATAACTACGTCCCCTCCGGTGGGTGCAGCGTCCTCTCACCTGTATGGCCCTCATTCCTGTGCAGTGACACATTCTTTTCAGAGCCTTTCACGCACCCAGCTGGACAACAAGCTTGCGGGGAAGGTGGCCTTGTGCCCATTTCATAGATGCAGAAACAGAGTTGCCGCCTGCCCAAAGCTGCTGTGTGGTGCAGCCCCCATAGGAACCCCGGTTTCTGGGTCCAGAGGTGTGCGCACAGCCCGCACGGAGGGGAAGTTGGGGTGAGGGAGGGCCTGGCTTCCTGGGCCCTGGGGGAAGAGTGGTCTGCTCGGAGAAGGCTCCAGGCTGACCCAGTCCCTGAAAAACAGGCAGGCCAGGCTGAGCAAGGGTGATCCTGGCCAAATGCTACAAGTTTTTCTGGACAGTGAAGGCTCTGATAAAGTAGGAGAGGGTTCATCCAGATATTTGGAAATTGTTTTCCTTTCGGAGGAGACTTAGAGGATCGGTAGGCCTCCGTCTTGGACATTTGGCCTCCGGGAGCCGAAAAGCGAAGGTCCTATGGGCCATGACCAACATGATGGTGGGTGACCTTCTGCTCTCCTCCAGCTCCTGAAAGGACCTGTCGAGCGACTTTGATCAACGAGTCCCCAGTGCTTAGCTACACGGATCTTGTGGGTTTCAGCTACCAGGTGGCCAACGGCATGGAGTTCCTGGCCTCCAAGAATGTACGTGTGGTCACAGTGGGCAGTCGAGGTCATGGGGAGGTGGGTCACCCAGCCAGTGAGGGTCCTCCACGTACACAGCTCCACACACTGCCTTCGTCCCCTCTGGTGGGCGAGGACAGTGAGTTCCCTCACACCACGTGGCCCCTCTCACCTGCGTGGCCCCTCACACCTGGACGGTGATGCACATTTCCCAAAGCACTTGACACGGGGGGCCTTTCCCAACCAGTGTCCCCAAGGCCTCAGCTCCCCTCTCTCCCCACCCCGCCCCCAGTGTGTCCACCGAGACCTGGCAGCCAGGAATGTGCTCATCTGTGAGGGCAAGCTGGTCAAGATCTGTGACTTCGGCCTTGCTCGTGACATCATGCGGGACTCTAACTACATCTCCAAAGGCAGCGTGAGTACCTTCCCCCACCCCGTGTGCCTCCGGCCCTCCTGGTGCGCAGGACTGGGACTCACGGGAGATAAGACCAGAACAGGGCTCCTTGTGGTCTGACCTGCCCAGCAATGGCGGGCTCTGCCTGCCTCGCCACGTGTGCAGGGACAGGAAGGGAGCCACCAGCTGGGCACGGGATGGCAGGTGGCAGGGATGCTAAGGCATGTGGGGGTGAGCTGCGGGCTCAAATTTACTAGAAATGTCAGGGGCAAGGGAGCAGCTGTAATGGGTCCCTGGGAGTTTGAGGAGAAGCAGGTCAAATGTGTTGTCCCAAACGGTGGCAGGAGGCAGAGGAAGAAGCCAAGGTGACAGGCTAAGATAGTTGAGTAGATGGCAGGCAGTGTCTGGTTAAAATATGACCGTCCTGCCTCCCATTCATGTCCCCACTTTCCACACTGGGACAGTGAACCCCAGAGCTGGAGGGACGCTAGGCCACAGAGCTCTAAGGCAGCCATGACCGGAGCTGGGTGGCACCTTGGCACGTCCCTGGCTCCCGCTCCCCTCTGCCAACTCAGTCAGGGGCATCTGCTGGGGTCAGGACGGGCAGCTTGTTATGTAGGGGCCTCAGACCCTGGGGTTACCATGCCCCTGGCTTGTGGGAAAAGAAACTCAGCCTCCTGGTTCCCTGGCCAGCGCTGCGATGGGCATGGGACCATGTGCCCGCAAAAGTAGGCCCCCAGGGGCTAGTGAGTGAGAAAGAGTCGGGGCTGGGAACAGCCCGGTCTCCCCTCATCCTGCCCGGATGCAGAGTGGGGCTCAGCCCCCCTCACACCCAGGCCGCCCCCTCCACAGACCTTCCTGCCACTGAAATGGATGGCCCCTGAGAGCATCTTCAACAGCCTCTACACCACCCTGAGCGACGTGTGGTCCTTTGGGATCCTGCTCTGGGAGATCTTCACCCTGGGTATGCTGCCTTCTTCCCACAGTCCTCAGTGGCCTGGCCCGGCGGCCACCCACACCTCTCACACTTCCAGCCTGTCAGGGCTGTGAACAGACTCTGGGACAGCCATCGGGGCTCTGGTTCAAGTCCCAGCTGTTCTGCTTTCATACTGCTGTGTGTCCTTGGCAAGTCTCCTGCCCTCTCTGGGACTCTTTACCTCCCATCTGAGTACTGAGGGGTTTGGACGGTGACACCTTTAGGTCTCTAATTTGGGAGGAGCGGGGGAGAGGGTTGCAGTATGTTGAGAGCCGTGAAGGAGCCCGCATCTCCCAATTCCAAGGCCACTGCCCCCTCAACCCAGCCCTGGCGTGAGGGTTTCTCACCACTTCTTCAACGCCCCAAGCCTGTGTATCTCTTCTCTTGTCCTTGCCCCCGACAGGTGGCACCCCTTACCCAGAGCTGCCCATGAACGAGCAGTTTTACAACGCCATCAAGCGGGGTTACCGCATGGCCCAGCCTGCCCACGCCTCCGACGAGATGTGAGTGGCGCCTTTGGGAGGAGTTTTCGGGTGCAAACGACCCATAGCCAGCTTTACCAGCCCAAGCCAACAACAGATTTATTAGTTCAGAGACCTGTAAAAATCTAGGCAGGGCTGGCTCTAAGTGTGTGGCTGATTCGTCGGCAATCTCTGCTTCTGCCCCGGGCGTTGCTTTCCTCTGTGCCGTCCTCACGCTCAGCCTGGCACTGCCCCGTGGCGACTGCGTCCTGGCTGCTTTCACCACAGTTCCAGCGAAAGGCGCAGAGCTGACTGTCATGGGCTCACTGGGGTCACATGATCATCCAGAACCAGCCACTGAGCTGAGGGGATGCAAACTCCTACTGGCCAGACCTGGGTCAGGTGCTCACTCAGGAGTGGTCCTCCCCTGGACCCACTGAACTGGGGGTGGAGGGAGGGCTCCCCAAGGGGACATCCGAGTGTGATCATGGGGAAACGGCACCTATCCACCTCCCTTCCGCAGTCCTTCCATTGCTCGCCTTGCTCTGCACTGGGGGGCAGTCCCCATCCCCCTGTGCCCTGTGTCACAGGCACTGACCTCCATGTGCCTGTCTGCAGCTACGAGATCATGCAGAAGTGCTGGGAAGAGAAGTTTGAGATTCGCCCTCCCTTCTCCCAGCTGGTGCTGCTTCTCGAGAGACTGCTGGGTGAGGGTTACAAAAAGGTATGTTGGGGCAGGGTGGGGGAGGGAAACGGCGAGTTCTGGTCCAGAAGTCAGACACTGGGTACAAGGCTCTGCGGGGCCTGTCGGTGTTTGAAGGCCCACCCTGGACTCTCTCTGGGCCTCTGTTTCTTTGCTGGTACTAGTTAGTAAGGGGTGGGCTGGAGCTGGGAGCTCAGTTTATTTTAGCAGCACAGAGAGTTTTGAAGTGAATTCTCACATGGAAGCAGATGGGTTTAATCTTGGGTCCCCTTCAGAGGTTTGAACTTCCCCAGGCTCAATGTCTGCTAATGGCCTGATCACATGGGCCCCTTCTAGGCTCCGACGAGGCAAACTGGAGCCAGCTGGGCCCCAACACCCTCGCTGCACACAGCAGAGCCGGGGGGTGGGGGAAGTGTTCGTCTCTGCTGGCACAGACCCAGCCCTTTCCCTAGGCCTGCTCCTAACCCTGCTCCCACCCAGGTCTGCTCCCAGCTCAGGGACCAATGAGATGGAGCGGAGTTGTCACCATTCAGTAGTGAGGGATACCGAGGCCCCCACTGAACGGGGTTGAGGCAGAATGGGATTCCGCACCTGTCGTCTGGAGTGGGCCAGGTGTTAGGGTGTCAGATGCTGGTCCACTCACTGGCCCCTCTCTGGGTGGCCCTAGGCTCCCCTTGTCTCGTGAGGTGCCAGGTGGGAGGGCAGCTCGGCCGTGTGGCTTTGGGCTGTTGGCCTTCCTCTCTGAGCACCAGTTGCCTAATTTACACAGGACTCGAGGGGCTGGGTCAGAATCTGACCACTGGATGATCCCTAAAGTCTCCTCTAATCTGGCCCTCCCTGTTTCTCGGGTGCTCTCTGCCCCTCGGAGCAGAGGTACCAGCAGGTGGATGAGGAGTTTCTGAGGAGCGACCATCCCGCTGTCCTTCGGTCCCAAGCCCGCTTGCCTGGCTTCCACGGCCTCCGGTCCCCTCTGGACACCAGCTCAGTCCTCTATACTGCTGTGCAGCCCAACGAGTGCGACAACGACTACATCATCCCCCTGCCCGACCCCAAACCCGAGGCTGCTGACGAGGGCCCGCTGGAGGGTTCGCCAAGCCTTGCCAGGTAGCCAGGGCGTGCAAGTGTGCACCATGTGCCTGTGCGTGCGTGTGACTTGCCTTAGAAGTAAATTACCTAGAGTGAGCACTTATTCCTGCTGGTGAAGAGAAGAGAGAATCGAATTCATTTGACCGCCGATGCCCTCAAGGGGAAAGGGCAGGGCAGTAAGAGAAAGGATGGGCTAGGACTTATCTGCAATGTACAATAGCTGTTTCCTATAAAGGAGCCTTCGTAGGCCACTGCTCACCCTCCTCTCTGGGAGAAGAGGAAGAAACCCAATTAGCACCCCAGCACCCCATGTGCTACTGTGGGTCATCGCCAGCCCCGGGCCTGTGTACCACGCCTTGGGGCCCCAGGGAGCAGACAAGGTTGCAGGGGGCAGAGGTGCCTCCAGGAGCTCAGGCCAGAATCCAGACTGGGAAGGACATCCATGCTTCTCTTTGCCTTGGGATGTGGTGAAGTTAGAGGCTGGGGAGCGCTTTGGTGGAAGTCCCAGCTGTTGCCTGGACTTGATGTTCAGACAGGCCCCCCTGCCCCCCGCCTCAGCAGGAGAGAATGGTTCCCCATGAGGCCAGACCCACCGCCTAAAACAAGACCCAGCCCAAGCGGTGAAGTGGCAGGAGCCCCCTTGAGATTCCAGCTCCAGCTCAGCTGTGAGGCCCGCCAGGCGCCTTCACTATCTGTGCACTGACTGGGAGTGCGCGTGGGACTTAGGAGGCCCCCCCGGAAGGCCCTCCCCGCGCTGTGTGAGCAGCCAATATTCCGAGGCTCCAGGAAGGCTGTGCACAGAGGCGTTACGCTCAGGGCTCAGACAGCGTAGGGCGTGAGTGCTGGCCCTGGTTTGTGCCCTCAGACAAGTTCCTCTCTCTAAACTTCAGTTTCCTCATCTCTAACGTAAACACAACAGAGCGCTTCAGTTTGGAGGTTGTTGTGACGATGAAATGGGATAATATACACCCTCAGGAGCGCAGGAGGAGGAGACACTGGTGGGTGAGGAGTAAGCTTCGGAGCCTCCGGATCTGCTGTGAAGCCTCAGCCCCTATACTCACCCGCTGTGTGGTGCGGGACAGGGATGTAACCTCTCTGGGCTGCACCTTGCTCATGAGGCCTGCCTTGCCTCGTCTTTACAAGGATTAAATGAGCCAGAGGATGCGAGGTCGGGCACACACAGAGCGCCTGATTAACGCTGCTGTTACGTTACTGTGGGTCCCTCCCAGCCTCTCACTCGCGTGTCTTCTCCCTCTAGCTCTACCCTGAATGAAGTCAACACCTCCTCGACCATCTCCTGTGACAGCCCCCTGGACCCCCAAGAGGAACCAGAGCCAGAGTGCCAGCTTGAGTCTCCCGTGCAGCCCGAGGCAGAGCCAGGGTGGCTGCCGGATTCGAGTGGCCCCGGGCCCCGGGCTGAGGCAGAGGACAGCTTCCTGTAGGGGCTGGCCCCCACCCTGCCCTGCCTGGAGCTTCCCCTCTACCTCCCAGCACCCCACGTCTCCTGGCCTGCCCTGCCCAGCTGCCCATCAGCCGGGCTGCTCCCATCGGCTGCCCCCTCTGGAAGGCTTGGGCCCCTGCCTTGTCGCACCCCAACCCCTGGGGCTGGCTGAGGAGGCAAGAGGACCGCAGGGGCCATGACCAGCCCTCTGCCTCTGGCGAGGCTGTGTGACTTGGAGCCAGGGTTCTCCCAAAGGACTCAGTTGCCCCATCTGTGAGACGGGAACGTTGGGCTTGGTGGCCCACAATCTGGGATTCTCCCCCTGGCTGACAGGTGGGGAGCTTGGAATCCCCGGGGAGATTCTCTAGGTTTGTGAGGTGGTAAGCGAACTGTTTCTTGTTCAGCCGGCTACCCCTCAGGGAGCTGCAGCTCTCTCCTTGTACTTCCTCTGCCCAAAAGCTGGGGAAGGGGCCCGGGTATCCCTGGCTCCCGGCTGAGCCGGGGCCTGGCCTTGGGCAGCGTTGCTCCTCTCCCCTATGTCAGTCTTTGCTCCCCCAGGCCCGAGCTGGTCTGGGCCGCCCGTGCTTCATCGATGCCAGGGGCCGAGCCCAGTCCCGGGCATCCGGGCCTACAGCCCTGCCCCAGGCACGCGGGGCCCGTCTCCCCATAACACGTGCCTGTGTCCATGTCTTCCCGGCTCCATGAGTCCTGGGGTCTTTTTCCTCATCACTGCCAGTCTTATTCCACCCACCAGAGGCTCCGGGGCCAGACGGCCCCATGTCTGTGAGGAGTGCGTGGATGTGCCGTGCGAAGTGTCCACACATGCGGGCCAGCTTGTGGACTGTATGTGCTCCGGACCCACTGAGAGACCTGGCAGGAACCGCTTGCCCTCTGTGCATCCGTTTTCCCTGTTAAGAAATGAGTGGGTTGAGCTCATTGAATTCTGGTGCCCTGCCAGCACTAACATTCTAGAATATTCCTGCGGTTGCACACGTGCCCAGATAAAGTAAAGCCAAACACCCCAACCCTGCATCCTGGGGGTGAGCTGGAGTTGGGGAGGTTCCAGGCCACATATCATACTCCGGGCATTCAGGAACTGTGCCCCTTCCCCAGGCCGCTGGCAAGTCCCAAAAGGCCAGCTGCCCAGGCCTTGACATGAAGTGACAGTCTTACTCTAGAAAGCCCCAAGCAGCTGCCTCAGGGACACAGGAAGACCCCGGGAGCCCTTCCAGCACCCGCAATGACCTCGGGAGCTATCTGGGGCCAAGGAGGCAGACGAGCAAATCAGAGCAGCTGGTGCACCCACCATACCAACGCCTGCCGCCCAGGTCTATGCTGCAGACAGTGGACAGTGAAGGCCCCTGCGGGGCCCTGGAAATGACAAGAAGCCTCGGATGGGGAACCTGAGAAAGGGGTGCAAGAGGTGGGTACTCTGAGCGCTGCCTTTTCACCTGCCAGCTGCCCACGGGGCCTGGCTTTGTCCCTGCGCAGGCTCACCCAGCACACTGTCTCCACCAGCCACCCAGCTCAGCAGGCACTGAGGTGCTGAGGGAGTGAGGGCTGTGGCCCAGACTGCGGGCAGGGGGAGGGCTGGAACGGGGGTGAGGGAGGATGAGCCCCCCTGGGCACCCGTCCCCTGTGCTGGGTGGCACCTCTCTGCCCCAGGACCCCCGAAGCCTGGTTGAGGAGAGGGACTAGGTTCTCACTACGGTACCAAAGATGTAATCACCTAGGTTTACAAGTATTTTTAGGACTCACATTAACTCACATTTATACAACAGAAGTGCTATTTTATATGCCATCAAAATTTCCTATCTGTGTACCTTTTTTAAGGGAAAGATTTTAATATTAAACCTGGTGCTTCTCACAGACTTCTGTGGTCTCTGATGGGTTTGGGCCCCTGTGCCTGGTCGGTGGCAGGAGCGGAGTGGGGCCGATGGGACTCATCCTGGCCTCAGGGTCCCCACACAGGTCCCTTCAGCACTGAGCCTGATTTCCATCTGTAAGATGGTGATTTTCACGGCCCCCGCCCCCTTGCTAGTAGCTGGGTGGCCTAGACACTGGGCTTCAGTTCTCGAAGTTGGGAAACAGGGAGGTTCTTCGGTTCTGCAGGTGCCTGGCCCGGGGGTGGGGAGCACCAGTCACAGGCTCAGGAGCCTGGGCCCCTCCTGCCACCCCACCCCACCCCACTCCGCCATGTGCTTTGGCTTTGGCTATTAAGCTGCCCCCCACCCCGCCCTCCCTGTCCACTCTGCCCGTGGGCCAGATTGAGTCTGCTGCAGCTCACGAGAGGCGTCCACGGAAGCCCAGAGCCAGGCCCCGGTGAGTAGTGGCCCAGGAGGCGGAGGACAGACAGAACACCCAAGGGGCAGAGAGCAGGAAGAAGTGAGGAGAGAGGGCGATGGAGAGAGGAAGAGGAACAAGGAGAGGTGCTGGAGGCAAATGGCCAGGGCGAGGCCGGGGAGGGAAAGGTTCTGGCCATGGCTCTGAGGGCGGTCTTGCCAAGCCGGGCGGAGGGGCGCAGGCCTGGCAGCCCCCGCCTCTCACGGCTGAAGGAGTTCAGTGTGTGGGGCCGGCGTGAGCCAGGGTCCCGCGGCGGGCTGGCCAGCTCCGCACTGGCCGTGGGCTCCACTGCCCGGCCTGGACCTGTGGGACCCTGGCAGTAGCGTGGGGCCTTGGGCCACGGAGACACCAGGGCAGCAGGCCAAGGGCAGGCGTCCTGGGCCCAGACGGGAGCTGCCTGCCCTTTGGGATAGGTCATCTGAGGTGGAACAAGGTTTGTCATACTTTGGCCATTCCTTGCTCTCTCTGAGCGGAAGAAGGGGGATCTCAGCTTGTTTCTGGGGGAGGGGTGCCTTGTTTCGGAGCCACTCCCTGGACTGCCTCGCCGAGTTGGGGGCTGTGTCTGCCTCGCGGGGAGAGGAGCAGAGTGTTGGGCAGCGCTGACTCAGAGGCCCGGCCGCCAACTCAGGAGCAGCTGAGCCAGGCCAGGGGAAACCCCGGCCGAGGCAGGGCCCAGCACCCCAGGCCTGCCCTCCCGGAGTCCTGGCTGCAGAGAACATCCAGAGCCCATGACCCTCTACCTCCTGGCTGTGGTAGGAGAGGAATAAGCCAGTACTCGGATCTGCCCTGTAAAGAGAATAAACAACCACATTCCAGACGGGGATTATCCTCACCCTTGGGAAATGCGCCCATCTGGGTCAGGAGGCCTCGCTGCCCCCACCTCAGGCCTGCCCCGTGCTGGACCCGGGGTGGGTCACACCACGGCAGGCCTCAAGTTCCCCTGCGGTGAAAGGAGCTCATGGTACTATAAAGAGATAAAGCATGATAAAACGCGATGGCCACTTATTGAGCAGTTACTATGTGCCAGGGTTGTCCTGTTGTTTCCTGCACATTTTCTCATTTGACCTTCCCCTTGGCCCCCCGAGCCAGGCACTGCTCTTACTCTCATATTACAGGGGAGAAACCAGTTTAGGGAGGTTGTAAAGCGACTTCCCAAGGTCATCTGGTTGGTATGACAGGGATGGGACAGGGGCCTGGGCCTGGCCAACTCCCACGTCATTACTCAGGGAGGTAGAGCACCCAGCCAAGGTTATAGGGCCAAGGAGTGGGGAAGCCTGGGTCCCCACCCGTCTCCTGACTCCAGACCCTTCTGATACTGTGTCCCCAAGAGACAGAGCAGGAAAGTGCTGGGGGCGGGGGGTAGGGGGGAAGCTACGCAGTCGGGTGGAGGGCCCACAGCCGCCCAGGGTGCCCAGGCGGGCTCCTGACTCCCAACCTCAAGCAGGCCCGAGGGAACGGGTGAGCTGGAATTTTCCTCCCAGACAGATGAGCCACTTGGACTACACTGTTCTTCCGCCACCCTGTTCACTGCCAGGGTCCTTGTTCCTGGAAAAAGAGGGAAAGGCTGAAAGAAACTATCGCTCCTGGGGCCCTGATCCTCAGCTGATAAGGTGCCTTAAGATGCTGTGTTCCTGTCCCTTCTTTGAAATAGGACTCTGTCTCTAAAAGTCCTCTTTTATTTCAGTTTCTTATTCAGCAACTTAGTAATTAAAAATTACTTCTGTAAAACATTTACGCAACATTTGCCTGTATTCAAAATATCCATTTCCATAATATATAATATAGAAAGAGAAAGTCTTTGTGTACCTCTTTCTGAGGCTCCAGTAACATTTCAAACGCTTATCTTCTTTACTCAGCATCTCTGTGTGTAGGAATTTATCTCATAGACATCCTACCTCTTGCTGTTCATCGTTTAGTTGCATTCTTCTAGGGCCCCCCTCCCCTTCCATTCACACTAATATTTGTACTCTGTCTCTATAGCTATGTATATAGAGACAAAACTATAATTCTAAGCAAAATTACCACTGCCATTTTGCATCTTGTTTTTTACTCTACAATACATCGTGGACACACAGATCGTTGACTCCTACAGGCGTCCATTCATTTTGAGCGCCGCACGTAATATAAAAGCATGCCCGTGCCATCGAATATTCAACCAGTCCCCTATTGATGGATGTTTAGTGTTTTGAAGTTATAACTTACACTGGAATGGCCACTGTTTGTGAAGTGTGTGTATATTTGCATATTTACATAAGTGTTTTTGCCCCATGGGATAAATACACGGACACAGAGTTGCTGGGTAAAGAGAATAGGCATTGAAAATGTTACTGGAGCCTGAAAGTTCTCTTTAAAACACAAAATCACAGAGCTTCTGGGAGGCTGAGAAAAATCAAACATAAAAACGATGAAAATGACATAGTCTAATTCTAATGAGGAGCTCTGACCTCCTGGGAAAAGTCTGGGGCCTCTTCTGTTTGTTGAAAAAAGCCACAGACAAGTAGTAGACAGTTAAGAGGCGGAAGGGCTCCAAGGGACAACTTTCTGCCTGGTATGACCAGAAGGCCCTGGGAGACTTCAGACACAGGAACTTTCCTGAGATTCAGCTCTTGCAGGTGGGCTCCCAGCCCAAGTCCAGAGGGCGCCCCACCCGTCCGGAAACCCAGCGTCCCCTCACTACCCGGCTCTGCTCTGGACCCCCACCGTTTGGAGATTGTGTCCCTAACGGTGGCCCTGTGTGATGCTTGTAATAAACCTATGAGACAAGCAAGGGAAGATCTGTTCCAGAGGAGGAAGCTGAGGCTCTGAGCCGCTAAGCGCTGGCCCAGGGTCACAGACAGGAAGAGGCTTCTTGACTGCCAGTCTGGTCCCTTGCCATTGCTTCCCTTAGGGACTCGTTCCTGGATTCAGGAGGAGCAGGCTGGGCCCTGAGGTGGGGGTGCCAGCTGCCTGTTCAGGGTGGGGCTCTGGAATTCCCTGGGTGGGCTCCCCCTTGGAGCAGGGATTTCTCTGGGCTGTGACAAATTCCCACAGCGTAGAATACAAACTACCACAGCAGGGTCGGGGGCCCGATGAGGGGGCCCGGCCTAGGACAAGGGACCGTCTCTTCTCAGGATCCAGCAGGGACTCAGGGACATCTCAGAAACCAGATGTCTAACTCCCTGTGAGCTCTCCCGGTGGCTCAGTCCCTGCCCTTCTCTCTGAGCACCTTTGGTCTGCCCTGTCAAATGGCTCCCCTTGGGGCTCCTCTCCTTCTTAAGGGGCTTGGGGGCAGTTTCATAGTCTCTGGTTTGGGGTTTCATGGGTAATCACTGCAAGGAACTAAACAAGTTACAAATACAGGGAAGTAACTGAGCTTCTGTAAAATCAGAGTTCTCAAAATGCTTGTTCCCTTTCTGAAGAAACAAGATGGAAGCTTCCACACACTAAAGCTTCCCTTCTTCGTTATCGATCTTCCTGGAGCAATCTACAATCTTGGCTCTCCTTCGCTCATATGGCTCCCCATGGCCCAACAAAGTCTGGATTCCCTATTGCAGTCTGCAAGGCCCTCCCTAACCGGATTGAAACTTCTCATGCTGCCTCTCCCATGTCCTCAAGGTCCGTCCACCCTGCGTGGGCCACAAGCTTGCCAACAGTGCACAAGGGTTCCCTTCTCTCCACACCCTCACCAGTCCGTGTCTTTTTGATAATAGCCATCCTGCCAGGCGTGAGGCAACAGCTCATTGTGTGTGTGTGTGTGTGTGTGTGTGTTAAAGATTTTATTTATTTTTAGAGAGAGAGGAAGGGAGGGAGAGAGGGAGAGAAACATCAATGTTTGGTTGCCTTTCACATTCCCCCAACTAGGGACCTGGCCCACAACCCAGGCATGTGCCCTGACTGGGATCAAACTGGCAGCTCTCTGGTTCACAGGCTGGCACTCAATCCACTGAGCCACACCAGCCAGGGCTCACTGTGGTTTTGATTTGTATTTCCTTGATGATGTTGTGCATCTGGCCATCTGTATATCTCCTTTAGAAAAATGTCTACTCAGTCCTTCAGCCCATTTTTTAATCAAAAAAAAATTTTTTTTTTTTGCTATCAAGTTGTATGAATTCCTTATATATGAGGTCTGTCCAGAAGGTATGTGGCCATGTAATATGAAAAATAGAGACATTTATTGTAGAAGATACAAGATACAAGAAACATTGTACATAAGACAATGATGCCTCAGTCCCCTTCCAAGTAGGTACCTTGGGACCTCACACAGTTCTTCCAATCGCCATCAGCTGCCCCAAGGTATTTTCCTGAATGTCATCAATGGTCTGAAACCTCTTCCCTTTCAAAGGTGATTTTAGTGTTGGGGAAAGCCAGAAGTTGCAGGGCACCAAATCTGGGCTATCAGTGGGACTGAGTCACTTGGGTGATTTGATGTTTTGCAAAAAAAACTCTGCACAAGACCTGATGCATGAGCAGGCACATTGTCATGATGAAGCTGTCAATCACCAGTTGCCC